TTAAATCTAAAGCTTTTTACTTATTGAGAACCCACAAAAATATGAGAAATTAGTTGTGAATTATTTGTTAAAAATGTCATTATTAAGATTTTTTWAAGATTTGATGCAAAACGCCTTGATGAACCGATGATGATTCTTGTAAGGCAATCATGATGTCTATTTTGATTTTTCGTTTTTTCTTTACTTTTACCCTGAATTGTAAGATTATCATTAAAAACGGAATTTTTATTTATTTATACATCTCTTATTATAATCATCAGTGTAAATAACACCTTTACAKTGAATAAATAAAGGATAAGTAATTTTGTCGCGCACATTTGTGGGGTCTTCTCGTGCAGTGCTCTTTCGAAAWACTTGAAAATTTAATAACACCTTTGTCATWAAAAAATAATTAAATTTTTAGTTTTAGAAAATGCTTTAATCTTAAACACGAAAATTTCAAATAGAGCATTATTTAAAAGTCTTAATCCAGCATGTTTACACTGCATTATAACGATAGTGATGTGCTATCGGGCGATATCTAAGAATGACTGTCTATTCCAACAAGAGATGTCAATATTTACAAGCCAGCCTTGGTCTTATATTGCTAATGATKCCTTGATGTATTGTAACCTTGCGGATTGTAAACATACAAGGATGACTATCAGGAGCCGACGAAATCTGTTCTTCTAAATAACAGTGCATGTTCTTGTACGAATTTTTTCCTGGTAAAGGGATTTTGAGTTACATTGTTGACAACCTCACAAGCAAATGTGGCGCCCTTCCTTCTTTAAAATAATTTTGTTCCTGGCAAACGGAAAAGCTCCAAAAGGCTAATATAACATTTTTTATATGGTCAAAAACGGCTTATATTTTTTTAGTAAGGAAATTTTTATTTTCCTAGTAAAAATTCTTAGAAAGTATTCCTTGTCTGGAGAGTTTTTTTGTCCTGAATTTCTCGCTGGCAACCAATTGCTATACATACAGCTGGCGTCACGACCATAAAAACAGACGTATTTCTACCAGGAACCCCTCGGTTCCACCTATAAAATATCCGTATATTTCGCTTTTTATGAAAAGTTACTTCTACTAAGGGCCGCGAACGACGAGTACAGTGTGCAGGGGACTTTCGGAAAAACCTTCTGACCTTATAAAAGTAGTGCAAAGAGCTTAGGAACTTTTTTCAATTCCCGATCAACTCTATGCTTACGCTTGTCGGAGTAACAGTTTATTAAAAAAAACTGATTGGAGCTTTGCTTTGGAGATGGTTCGAAATAATCTGAGTTCTCGACAAAGATTTATAAGCCTCCGTCGAACTTGAATATTTCGAATATCAACCTTAGTCTCGACCCCTACAAAAGACCCCTACAAAAGACGCTTAAATTCATTAATTATTCATGAGCTATTAGACCAAAAATTAAGTGGAGCCGTCTATTTGTTCACGTGATTGATCTCGTAAATCTAGCTTTAATACTAGTGTAGTATGCGGCAGATTTTCAATACGGTCGCCCGCAATCAACCCATCAATATCGAAGGTCTCAGGTTTACTAATGTCAAACAATATCTGGCGGTTGTCATACACGAGGAGCCAGCAACGTTAACTCTTTTCTTTTTATAACCGCTCCAGTATCATTGAAAGGGTGGTTTTTAAAAAGAGAAAGAAAAGGAAAAGAAAAATCATATAAAAAAAGATCAAATAATAAAAAAACAACAACAAAGCAAGGAAAAAAAACATGGAACACGTTGCGTTATCGAAATACTCGACACCCAATTCACCTTAAAGAATTCTAGATCTCACTTGATTTCCTCTACAATGGCTGCCATAATAACATACAATGAAACATTAGCGTTGTATGTCGATTAACTTTAGGAACGAATTATTCGCGGCCATTGCTTGATCGCGCGCATCCTTGTGCACATCAACTTTCAGACCTTTTCAGTCGCTTTTGTGCGCGTGCGCTTTTTATGATGACGTCAGCATTTGGATATTTCTGAGAAATTGAAAATGGCGGATAGAGTCGGATAGAGTACAAATACTGTGCAACATAAATACCACTAAATACTGCTAAATTATGCTAATTCTATTTTTATTGTTTCATGAACACTATTTTGTAGTATATAGTGGAAAGTGTTGCACACATTTAATGTTTGTACTCTAACATTTCTGATTTTTTGCATAAACATCAATGATTTCTGTTTCTAACATTATGTCGGCCATATAATGTAAAGAATTACATGCGTGCGACCATGTTAATTAGAAAATGGTAGCCATGTTAACCGTTTAATATAGTAAAACTGAGGCGTAGCCTGTAACACCATTGAAATTAGTCCTTTTTTTTCTTCATTCCTTTATGAAGAGACGGAGTAAACAATGATGGTTATATTAACCAAAATCCTTTTTGGTGGACTATTATTTATTGCCGATAACTATGTTTCGAAGACTGAATCGGTATTTAGAAACTAATCTTCAAGAAACCATCACTCGTGTCGTGTGTGAATGAGAAATTCCTTTTCAAACAATAAAAAATGAAATAAAATAAAATAAAAACACAAAATAAAGAACTACTTAAGAAAATCATGTTCCGAATATAGCATTTAAAGCTGAATTGCGTTATAATATAAAACACGTAAAAAACGATTTTTTTCTCGCGTTTCAAGTTATAAACATACTTTTACATTAGAATACTTACCAGTATTTTGGTTCTTCACTATTTTCTATGACTTCTATGACTATTTACTACTTTTTTTCAGTATCTATCCAATGTTTCCTTTCAAARTCAGATCAAAGAACTATTTCCTCAACTTCCACAAGCCTCTTTTGAAGTGCACTGGAGAAACTGCAAAGCAATGTTTACTATTTTTTTAACTTTATGTTTTCTCAGTAGGAGAAAGTTGTAGCTTCCACGTGAAGCACAGATTTCCATGGAGCGGCTTAGACGACGATCAACTCACCAACATAAGAACCCGCGCTGCAGATCCTACTCAAAAAACTTTCAAAAGGATGTAACCTTCTATATCTTTTAGAGGTTTATCGCATGGAACTTATACGATGAGTTTTAACTGAATACCTAGTCATGCTATACAAATCAAAAGCGTTTTGTTTTCGCGTCGTGTGGTTTAGCGTTTTTCGTTCGCGCAAAAAGAGGTCTCCCGCGGAGTGGTTTATACAACTTACAATAAAACGTCAAAAATTGTATTTTTAATTTTGACCTATAATAATAACAGTAAGAATTGTAAAGGCTCCCATGAAGCCAATAAAAAAAAGAAATGAAATTTAGTCGAAGATCTTTGATGTCAATAAAAGTAAGGTAAACTAAGATGTTTGTGGGTTTTTTTTTGTTCACCTTTTTGTTAATGCTTTTTAAATAATTTTCCCCATCTAAACACCTTTTTAAACTTAAAAATAAGCTCTTAAGCTTCAAGATATAGAATAATAAAGAACTAAATTTAGAGGTATTCAGGATTACTCAGCAGTGGTACGGTCAGGAAATCACCTGCAATCACACCAATTACATCAAAACCAGTCACTAAGTTTTACATTTTCAATAAAACATTGCAGTTTTATATATGTATTTTACCTCTGGTTTAATAATATACGACTCCATTTAAAGGGACATGGTCCACCAGCATCCCTTTCGGGCTTTTGTTTATGTTTGAAAATAGAAATACATCGTAATATAATCAAAAACTTACTCTTTATTATTCCTTTCTTTATCCTATATGAATGGAGATGCTTTAAGTTTCGACCGTTAAACCGATGGATGCGACGGATTGCAAATGGATATTCGAAGTCACCTCATTTTCCATATGTGAAAAATCTAAAACACGACCGCATTGCATGCTAGTGGACCATGCCCCTTTAAGATAAAGCATCTATTTATTAAATGGCCATCAGTTTTCAGTCATTGAATGATGGCCGTTGTGTTTTAGATTTTCTTGTATGGAAAGTGAGGGACTCTTCAACTTCGCATCAAATCTTACAATATCTTCATTCAAATAGCATAAAGGGATAATGAATAGTAACTTTTGCTTATATTTACTTTTTTTCATTTTTACTGGCATAAACTAAAGCTCGTAAGGGATGACGGTTGAGCATGGACCTTTAAACAATCTAGGGACACACTACTTTGTATAAGCAGCTCATTTTTTAAAGACTTTTAGCTATATTTAACTCTTTGTATCAAAATACAGGTAGTACCTGAAAAATGGGAGGGAAATTTGTACCTAGCGGGYTAATTAACAACTTGTGGGATGTATCGCAGGCTCTTTTATAAGTAAATATAGATAATAAACATCTCATTTGGAATGACCTAGCCTCCTCGCATCTCACTCTTCTAGTTTTTAGATATTTCGGGTTTCCTGTAGA